CGGTCTCAGGTAAATGATAGTGGCCATTCGGTTGGCCCTCAAAACGTCTTTTCGAGTATTGGTTCGAGCACGAACTACTCGGTTATTGCGCTACCTGGAGGCAGCCTATATACGGCGGGAGAAACCCGACCTATGTAAACAGCTAGACCACGTGGTCAACCTCAGCTTGCCCTGGTAGACCTGAGCCCCCTTTTGATTTTCGAAATCCCTCGGCATGTTTACTTCCCCATTTTCATTCCTATGTTGTATTTTGAAGTTATCATTTTATTGATTAGTCTACGCGCAGTATACGTTGACCTTGCTGTTTTACATTGATTTTCTCTCTCGAAATTCAAACCTCTGTACCTTTTTCACTTGTTATTTGTGTTATGCAACGACAGGCTGCAGTTGAGAAGCCGTCGCGAAATTTTCCAGTACTATTAAATTCTGCTGTCCTTGCTTGCTTTAAATTAAAAATAAAAACTAATCAGTGCTCCTCCGCGCCGCATCCACGGACAGGGCGTCTGAGAATATCACATGATTGTGGTAAACCGCTTTAGACATCAAAGTGTTAAGAGCACTTTTATAGTTACGATCGCACGGTTACAGTTCTGCCAGGCAGCAGGGGTGTTAGCAAAATGCATCTTCTGAGCTCTCCTTCGAGCAAGGCAGCAGTGGGAACTTGGATGAATGGCATCTTTTCCTAATGCAAGCAAGCATTGGGAACGCAAGTGGGAGAAACCCCTCACGGCTGAGAAGCACGCATTAGCGCTGAGGTTAAGATAACATAACTTCCTTATGGGGGAATCACACTGCAAACTACAGTATCTAAAGCTTCTCGTGGAACTTTAGTCAAAATTCTGAGATGTGTTTCAGACTAGATGGGATTATTTGGGTGGGGTCATAATACTGATCATCCTACAGCCAAAGCTCGAGATATTTCGGCTATGCCAGGATGCCGGTTTTCGAATAAACTAATTCCGGCCGTCTGCAAGAAACAACGTTTGGCGAAACTGACAACTTAAGTAGTATGAATTGACCCCATTGATTTTCAATGTCCGTATGAATCTAGATATACACAAAAATACCCTGCCTTACATTCATTTTGTTGCACATTAAGACTTCTTTTAATTTCACATTCGGAGAAATGACGTCTTTCAGTTTCAAAAGCATTCCAATAAAGAAGAGAAGTTTGGACGCGACTTGCCGTTGCACTTGCATTTATGGTTTTCAAACTACAAGCCATTAACTCTCCAAACAAAAAAATTCTACAGGCCTTTGCGCTATTAAAAAGGGCTCGGGAAATTTTGCTTTGATTGTGGACTATTTTTTACACAGGAGCATTAATGCGCAGGTAGATAGTATGCTACTTGAAAAGGCATTTCATGGTCCTACAAATCTCACAGAGAGAATTTTTTTCAAAACCGAGACACCATTTCTTTAAGTATAAATTTAAAGACGTAATTTGCTACCAAATGAGTACAATAGTGAATATTTTTGAGCAGATCTTCGAGAGAGTGTGTTTGAATTGAAAAAGCAATCAAGAATCAGTGGGGAAAATCAAAGAGCTTAAGTAGAAACCTTTTTCTGGGTGTTTATTGCGGGCGACTACCAAGACGCCCATCCAAAATACACCATTCAGACCCTACTAAAATATCGTTAAAGTAGGCTGCACGACGATCATTATTACAATCCCACCCAGGCTACCCTTTGGAATTGAAAACACGTTGCATGAGATAGGCCAGATATTGAAGTACATTTAGGTCTGCGAATTGCGCGGTTATACACCTCTGACGTTAATCGTCAAATGTCAGACCTAAGGAGTGCTATCTCGGCAAGAGGAGTGCCGGTCCTGTGTATTTGTAAGAAAAATGGGTAAGGGTTGATAATATGCGCGGGATAAGGAAAAACTACGGAGAACTGCCAACTATGTTTCTGAAATTAGGCGCTGTTCGGTAGGGTTTTTGGTTGGGTCCTTCGTCGGCAGGATGGCATTCGTTGACCTGTACCGCCCGGAGGAGTCAGCGCTGCTGAAATGTCCTATATTGGTTCATATTTCTGCATTCCCCACACGTAGGCTCACGAAAACTCATTTTGAAAAAAAAAGTTCGGCAAGGAGGGCAGTCAGGTAGTTAAATACTTGAAATATTGATATATGGAATGCATAAGTAGGAAGAAATAAGCTCTTTGTACGTTTTCGATTTTGGTTCCCCAAGTCGTCCGCAGACGTGAAGTAAGTGTGCAAAGCAGTTGACAGTTAAACATGCCTAAAAAATTGATTTTGCCCTTACACTCCTGCTGACTTCTGATTGGTCAATGCCTTTTCCACTTTTCCTTGTGGCTGTTGTACACCGCATCCAATTCTACGTGTCGGTTGATGCATGCGTCATCAGAAGGGGTGGCCTCTAAAAATTCGCAGCCCTTCTTATATGAGCAAACACCTACAATGCGAGTCCAGTCCCAGGCGAATTTGTGTCCAGTTTCCAACTTGGGACAAGTGGTCTCGCCACCAGCAAGGCAGGTGAATTTGTTAAACATGAGTTAACATCTTCTTACTCCGCGCATATACTTAACCCCTACCGAAAAATGTGTTCAGTCAAGCAATGATAAAATTAACTGCCCCCAAGCCTTAAGATTACCCATCCGTGGCCTGAAAGGTTGCCGACCCATGGGACAATTTAGTCCTGCTCAGACGCAAGAGTCAGACTGCAATGTCTCCTCGCTATGACACTCTTAATTACGCGAGAATCAGAGCTCCCTCATTGAGGCCTAGTGCGTGAGGAGTTAGGAGTCGGGTCACTCTGAGCAACCTGGAATTACGGCAGATGTCCCGCCAGACAGACTCACGCGCAAGTCACCACTGAGCCCTTCGCCCTCGCTCCCCCCCCCTGTGATAGTGGCTTGCGCGGGACGGAAGACTCGAAGTAAAAATTAGGCGCAAATTAGGCGTCCATCCGTCTACCCCTAAACAATAAACCCGGCAGCAAGAAGGTGCGCAAAGGACGAGAGCTCACCCATAGGCGCCATTGGAGATGAGTTTAATAATTTCAAAGTCCGCTTCACACGGCCGACGACGAAGAATGAAGGATGGAGGTGGCGACCGTTTGTCGGCAATCCTGCCTGCACTGTCCTCCCCAATGTCACTGTCAATGGAAAAGTCGGTGAAGATGGGCGCGGTGGAGGGAGGTCGTGCGACCAGGTCCCTGTCGGGTTCCTGTTGTTCAACGGTAGGCTCACTCACTAGAAGACAGACAGGGATCAGAAAAGAGAAAATCGATAATTTCTTGTGCAGATTTATTTAATGATGCGAAATTTAACTGCTTAGGTTTCTAACGCCAAAAAGCCAGGCGATAATTGAATGGCACAAGACACGTCAGTCGTCGTAACTCAGGCCGAACGTCTGGGGACCACTAGTGTCGGGAGAGAGTGAAAACGGGTAGCAGAAGAACCTATAATTCGTAAAAACATAGGGTACAGAACGAAGCCCACAGTCGTGGCTTTTGTACTTAACTCAGTACATATGCCCAATCAATGAAAAACACGAAAGCAAGCCAACGGACAGGAAAGAACTAGAACAAAACAAGCCCAACTTGGCACAACCCTTAAGGAAAATGGAGTAGTCAGTTAGGAGCCCGACACAGTCGAAACGGCCAAAAATGTTACATGTCAAGAAGCTCTTGATGCAGACACGCTACTCTGCAATAATGCGAAAGGCTTCGATTCGTCGTCAGAACTTGCCATAAGAACGGTAACAACAAAAACAATATTAGCGGCTACTCTACGCAGACGGTGACCAACCGACCACTCCCTGCCCGCATTATCTGCACACGTTTCGCATCAGGATAGCTCCAGTTGGGCACCATAGTGTCCACCACCTCTCGAGCCAATCCTGCAGCCCACGGAAGCATTAGCTCTGTCGAAACTGTCCGATGATCTTTGTGAGAATCCTCCCGAGGCATTTTTTGATGCTCGTAGCAGCTTTCGCTGTAGCAGAGGCTTTGTCGAAATGGAAGACGATAGCCTGCGTCCTTAATTTCGCCAAAGAGTTCAAATAGATCAACAAAAATCGATCTATGGAAGGACGTAATGGTATGATCCTGAAACCCGTAAACTTAAACAAGGCATACTACTACTAACCCACGCTCATAAGCTTACGAAGAAGGCGAGCACTTCACCGTCAGCAATGGAATCCGACCAGAATATGTCTTTCTCCTGCCTCCTGCGATAGAACCAGTTCCGTCCAGATGGGGCAAAACCACCTGGCCTCGAACCCCGGAAATGACGCCAATATCGGCAGAATTACGCGCCGCTGTGTGGCTACTGGTTGGGCTCGAGAGAGGGTAAGCCCTAAGGTACAACGGGACGAGTGAGTTCAGTAACAACGATCAGTGAGCGCCCCATTCTATCGACGACAATATCGTTTTGCAGAGCCTCACATCATACCCAGCCGACCTGAAACTGATTACTGGGAACAAAGTGCCGCTCAATGTTGACACGATGAAAACAGTGTTCTTTCTTCCCCTGGGAAGCGAGACTTGAAACGATCACGTTATCCGCCGCAGATCAAAGTCAGCAGGGGATAGACCGGCGCTCACAAGCCGCACGCAACACGTTCTAGTGACACGCCAGCTAAACATAACAGTTACAGGGAGAAAAAAGTGCCGACAAAGACAAGGGAGGTTGAGATGCTCATTCCTTGCGCTTTCAGTTGTCCATACAGCTTGTTATGCGATTGTTTGCGGCGCAAACGGGCGAAACGGGGTGAGTATGTCCCGTGACCTGGTCGGTGAACGCTCTTGTAACGATTCTAAAATGTACAACTTTCAAGCAAGACTGTAACCTATGGAAACGCTAAAGATAGAAAGGTGTTAATATATTCAAACGAGAATGAAGACCACAGGGGCAGCAAAATAGCCAAGAAATGGCAGTATTGCGAACAAAACTAACGAACCTTCGGTTGTGGGTTTGCTGAGACCCAACTTGGACATAATGTAACGTGGTACGTCGGCGGAGATGACGTCATTCTCCTGGACGGAGCTGGACCAGGTAAGTTGGTGTTGCCTCACCTGGTTTTCGGCCACCTCCAACATCTGGTAGAACTCGCAGGGGTCAAACTCAAGGCACTCGAGAAGCCGTGCGGGCCGCGATATTATGAGCAGCAGGCGATGCACTATACCCGTAACGGGAATCACGGAGTTGGGGTCTTTGACGCGCGCCTAGCAAAGACAAAGGAAATGAACGCAGGTGATAAGAAAAAAAGGAAATCAGCACGGCACAGTCCTTTGTGTTGATGGTATCACATTATTGGGGCGACCCACAGCTGTAGAGGGTAATCCTATAGAGAAATGGTGTAGCTCAAACCCCTTCAAGATCGATTGGGCTGATGGTCCGTGATATTAAAAAAGCTACCAAGCACAAGGTAATCTTCCCGCATCAGAACCGAAAACAATCTGCAGTACAAACGTGGATGTGTATCGCCCTGGCGAACACGATTAGCCAAACGTCAGGGCGGCTAAGATTCAGACATCTGCCAGAATACATACGTACAGCAGGCGGACTCCGGAGAATGCTTAACTTCAGCTAACGACGTGCGAATTCCAGATCCTATCAGGAGGGATTTCGTCGGTTCCCGAGTCCGTGTGTCAGAACCACTCAGGAAAAGATGCTTCTTAGCCTACTGTCAGGGCTGTACCGCTGGCATGTTTGTACTCCTAAACCCATGGGTCTAAAAATGGCATCCGTTGTGCAAATCAGGTTGGGCAAGGATAGGGCGTAGGACCTCAACTAATTTCAGGTAGCCTGTAGACCGCGTTATACGTGAAATGTGGTTGGTGGGGTTTCACGAGTGGGACAACACGGAGGGTCGGCAGAAAGCAAGAAAACACGGAAAATAACTAAATTTCTGCCGAACGTCTTATCTCATCTTATCTTATATGGCAACGAAATCGTGCGCAATAATTGCACAGATAGGCACAAAGCAATTTTCGGCAAGATGTGATTATGTAGCCCCACCTGATGGACACAATTATGCTGTGGTTGGGGATAGGGGTTATGGGTTAGGGCAACTAATTCTCAACCACTCAAAGTACAACAGCGCATTCCCAATCACACTCTATTCTTCCTCAACAGTCTGTGTCCGGTGTTAGGAAACATTCCTGCAGAGGAGCGACAGGATGAGGTTCAGCGAAAATTGTGGCTCAACGACCTGTCTGCGCATGACATTTGACCAGGATTCGGCGGCTCGGTTCGCAGATTAATGAGAGTTGCACGAAGGCTACACTAAAGAATAAGCCATTACAGCCTGACTCTCTGTCTTGAGTGAGCGACCGAGTGATCCAGTCCGCTGACTGCATTCCAAGACCAGGTCTTAAGACCACCATGACACTCTTAAAGCACATCAGATTGTTTATAGTTAGGAATATGTGTGTAAGACTTGGTTATGTAGCCCGGCCAGATGGACGCAATACTGTTGGGGTTGAGGTTAGGACTAGGGGGTGGGGTTATGGGGTTGGGGAAACTACTTCTCAACCGCTCAGAGTACAGCCGCGCATTCGCAATAGCTTTTCTCGTCGCCTGTGCGTTCCCCGGTCCCACCTGTAAAAGCCCCCTATTACCACAGGTCCCGTTTTACAGGTGGCTGAGCCTTGTTTACTTCAGGCGGGGCTACATAAACACATCTGACCCAATCTTTAAAAAAAATAACGGCATTTGAGCAGACCACCGCTGGTAAGTTTACATTCAGCCAGGACTGCAAAAAAACAACGCAAAACTGACCTCCTCGACCAGTTTGTTCAAGCTTTCAGTCAGCTCGAAGAAGTAACGACAGGTGATGACGCCGGAGAGTGCCTTGTCCAGACAGTCGCGAGCCAGTTGGAGGACCTGTGCACGAACAAAGCGCGCCACTGCGGAGCACGCGACACTGTCCTCGTCCTGCTCCAGCTCGGTGCACAGATGAGTCAACCGCTCCTGCATCTGTGCCGAGGCCTGTAAGACAGAGCGAAACGGTTATTGGCCGACTGCAGGCAGACAGAGAGAGCGCAGAGGCAAGGAGATACAGGCGGGCATAGCCTACAGTGCAATAGCCGGCGAGATCCCTCCCCCTCCACACAAGACAGTCCGACCGTCGTTACCGACGATATCCACCGTATGCTCCATAGCAAGGTGAAGCAGGCACGGCGACTTGCGCAGCATCTACCGCATTCTCTCCTCCTCCCCCACATGGGCCCGGTGTCAAGACAAAGTCCAGCAGACGGTGGACGGTGTAGGTGGATGGCACGGTGGAGCCCGCGCCTTAGCGCTTCACTCCACACCCCCTAGTCCACACAACAAATGACCAGGACTTCAGCCAACAACAGCAACACTACAACGGATCAGAGGAACGAGGATGACTGGGCAGCCATGCTCACGACCTGTGTACCCAATAGAGCGCACCTAACGGCAGGGAACCAGGTGTCAGAGAACTGCCAGCGCATTCCAGGCCATGGTTTGCTAATCCCGGCATAGCGGACGCTTAAAGACATTTATCCCCCGGCTCACACACACACACACGCGTACACGCAAGCTTGATACAAATTAGTCCTCATTGTGTAGGCCGCGTGTGTGCAGACGAGCGGCTGGAAGCGGTAACTGCCTCCACTCCACCTTACGATTGGGGTTTATGGTGAACTTTGCGGTTACCGCGCCTACTTCGTGGCAGCATTCCCGGTGGTTCTAAAGGTCACAGTGCAAGATCGTGTTTGAAAAAAGTCTGCGTGTGCGTACTAGGCTGAAATAACACACATAGTTTCCCGTGGCTTCGTTAGCTCAGAAATTCGCCTCAACAAGCCTAACGTGTTTGCAACATCCCCAGCGCTTGCGGGGTTTTGGATGCATACTGCAAGTACCGATCAAATGAGTCAGACAAAGCCACAACTACCCGGTTCTGTGGTACTACCGCGTGCAGTTGGTATCTGGATATGCTCAGATGAAAAAAAGGCCCGGCCGTTTTTACGTAAGGCGTGAGGGGACGTATAATTCCCGCGATTAAAGTCGGCACATAAAAGAATAAGATGTTTTCAGAACAGTATAACGAGTGGAAGAGAATATGCGTATCCCAGGTTCTTGTTTAAAGGAAGACGAAGGCACGATCTCTGGGACAGTAGAGTTATTGGCCATAGCTTTCGAACTCGAACTGGAGTTCATCATCAGAGGCTGCTAGAGTGCAGCAAAGTGTGAAAATTTATATCGTTCTGCCGTGAGGGGGGGCCACGTCCGTGGCTAGGTGTGGTTTGTGCTGCCTGGTCCACAATCGTCACCCGGCGTGGTGGCGGCGCTAGTACTTCCTGCTCGTCACGCGCACACCTGATGACAAACTCAACATTACAGTGCATAGAAAGGCAACCAATACAACCCAGTTGCTCAAGTATCATAGCAACCACCAATTGGTGCACAAACAGGGCTGTGTGAGGGCGCTTTTCGACCGGGTTAAAACGCACTGTAGCGAGCCCGAAGGAAGGATGCAAGAACTACGGCATCTCCGGTAACAATTAACAAAGAACGGCTAGCCAAATAGTTTTATCAGTCGCTACATACGCACGCACCCACGACGGACAAACGGAAGAGAGACACCAACAATTTGCCACTTCCTACCGTACATAAAGAGTGTGTCCGAGGCCACAGAACGCATTGCGTCAGAGTAAGGCGTGTGCATCGCTCATCATCCAGTGGCTACCATGCGTAGCAGAATTATGAAAATGAAGGATCGGCTGGACGCAGGTGAGCAGTCGAGCGTAGCCTATCAAATCCCGTACCAAAACTGTCCTTGCCACTACACAGGCCAGACAGGACGACGTCTCGGCTCGCGAATACTTGAGCACAAACGGGGCGTTCGAAGAGGCGACCCACTATCTCAAGTCGCCACTCACACGCCGGAGGAAGACCATGAGTTCGACTTTGTCAGCACGAGGACATTGGCGCGAGCCGGCAACAAGACGGGGCGAGAACTGTTGGAGGCGTGTGTGACGGACACCAACGCTATCAACAGACACATTGACTTGCCTGCTTGTTATCAGGCAGCCCGCCCACGCAGCCAGGTGGCGCAGCTTACATCACCACGAAGTACAAACGGCGTCACCACGCCGGGGGACCACTGTAGATCAGGCGGCCAAAACCAGACCTAGCCACGGACGTAATCCCCCCCTCACGGCACAACGGTATAAGTGTTCACACGTTGCTGCACTCTACCAGTCTTTAATGAACTCCAGTTCGAGTTCGAAAGCTAAGGCCAATAAATCTACCGTCCCAGTGATAGTGCCTTCGTCTTCTTTTGAATAAGCGGATATTTTCGTCGGCCATCTGGTAGGAGTCGGGAGATTGCAGATTTCACTAGAAGTGGACTCTCAAACCGCCAAATACTCGGTCTGTCTTTAAAATCCGAGGAGAGATCATCTGGACAGGCGGTGTCGCCACTCTTTGCCCATAAAACGGGTCACACGGTAGAAGCGCTGGATCAACAGAGGCGCTAGATCGGAATCTGGCAGGTGACATCGGGAATGCGCACGCATGGCAAATGCTAACATTGGGCGTGACGGCCGGTTCAATTGCCGGTTTACTTCACGGCAATTCGCTTCCCTACTTTTTGTTGTGGTATAGAATCCTAGCCAATGTTTGTTGTGGACCAGGTGTGGTCGTACGCCTTAAGTGCAGATTTACACCGTGCCAGCCACCTGCGTCCTCTCCGACCTCCAGTCTTCTCGACGGGCGGGAGAGTGACGTGGATGCGACGAAAGTCCACTATAATTATGGACTAACTCACATGTAAGTCACCGTTCCTGCCCCCATCCTGCTTTGGAGCACATGGCGGACATCGTCGGTAAGGACGTTAGGACTGTTGATGCCACCCAAAACCCAAGGTTCAACCCTGTTTCACGCCTGTCACAAGGAGAGTCATGGATCACCTGGCTGTAGACTTGCGTGATGACTTTCAGCTCATAACTGATTTAGTAAACTCCGTTCGGCAGACTCCCCGTATCAGGAATGACCGCACTCCTAATGCGCTCGGTCGACCCAGCCGAGCTGGGGTGAGCCAGCTGACAGGCCAGCCCGGAAAAGCAGATGTGCTGTCTCTCTCGGTTACCTGGAGCTCTGGTATGACAGTCAGGCGTTTTTATCGTCCTCTATCTCGAGCGTGGACGCACACACAGAGGGCTTGTTGTTTTGCAGGTTTTTTTTCAGTCTATCAGGGCACGTACTAAGATCGAGGCTAGTAATAACGCCGATGACAGGTAACTTACGCACTACTACGAGAGAGACCGTTAAAAGACTGCGTGTTGGAAAAACTTGGAGAGTACAAGCTGTCAAGGGAACTAACTGCACTCGGTTCAACTTAGGAGGACTCGTGTATAACCCATAAACAGATTAAAAAACTCGATCGGATGATAACATCTGCCCTCAAGCTGGTAGGATTTACGGCTAGTTTTTGAGGCATAATGGGAGATGCGGTGTGCGATTGTGTAATGTAAACGATTCGACTGTGGCGACGGCGGTGGTGGTGGTGAGAATTAGCTCTTAACGGGCTTACGTGGAGGTAACAAAAGCTGTTCCAAGCATCTACAGCAAGTACATCCGGAAGTCTGATTTGAAACGATACTCGAAGTAATTGCAGTAGCATATGATGGATGTACTGCCCCATAAAACGCCAAACAGGAACCTAAAATGTGTTTTCGATTCGAAAAGACCATTTAAGTAGGGTTGCAGTATAATTGATCGTGAAGTATAATCTCAAGATATTTCGATCACTTCAGGATGTTGGTTTTTAAATGAATTCCTTATCGGCCGTCTGCAGAAACTCCACTCTGTATAAATGACTGCTTAATTAGTACGAATTTTCCCGTTCATTTTCGAAGCCCTAATAAATTAAAACAAATTTTATATATAAAGCATGCAAAATATTTGTTTTTGCACTCTTTTGGTAGCAAATTACGTCTTCTCTAAATTTAGTGCTTGAAGGATGAATATAATGCTGCTTTAAAAAAACCTTTTCAACTTTTGAATAATTCTGAATTCGACCTGCCGTCACACTTGCACTCGGGGTTTCCAAAGTCGCACATCACCATGTGCTACTAAGAAGAACTCAAATAAGGCTCATAAAACTTTACAATGGATGTGGAGCATGCCGTATACTTTATAAGCAACATTAATAAATCCACTGATACAATATTTTATGAAGGCACATTCCACGGCTTTCAAAAATCTCATAATTAGAAACCTGTAATTTGCTACCAAATGAATACAAAACAGGATATTTTTGTGCATTTCTTTCATCAAATGCATTTGAATCTAGAGGGGGCATCGAAAATCAATTATTCGTATAACTTAAGTGGTAATGTTTAACCGCGATTGGTTTTTGCAGACGGCCGGAATCGAAAAGGCATTTCAGAATTTCAGCTAACATTTTATGAGATAGTCCATCCACTGTACGGCCTTGGAACGTAGTAGCTCAGTTTCCCAGCAGATAGCCGTGGTTCCAAAGCCACAGCATAATGACAAAATCAGCAAAAATCTAGAACTGGGCAGGGCATGTATGGCGACAGCATACGGGAGAAAAGGCAATTGTAATCTGGCGGCCTACCTTAGGAAAGCGTTCACGATAGACATGATTCAGCAAAAACACGTCCTGCTCGAAGGGTGTGCTGGACCGCAGAGGACTGAAGTGAAAAAACAAAAACAAGAGAGGATGAAAGACATTAAAGCCCAACTGGACGACATTAAGGATGCCACACCTGTAGTCAACTTTAAAGTAAGACTTCCAGCGGCGCGTTGTCGTAATAGAACATCTTAAAGAATCCCCGTAGAAGATACGGTACGACTGACTTATATGACCCCCCCCACCCTCCCCAAGAAAAATCGGAACATGAGAACGGGAACCGCCGGTAATACGAGTGGCTTTGACACAACTACCAGTGAAGTTGAAGTTAGGCTTGAGACTAGATTTTAAGCCAAGGGTAAGGTAATTCAGGATCAAGTTAAGGGGTAAGGTAGGGGCTGGTGTTAAATGTCGAGGGTGGGTTATAGTTGGGGTGAGGACATAAGAATATTTCGCCCTTTTTCGGAATTGTACGCAGGTTCACTTTTATTACTTGGGCAGGGCGTACCTATTCCCATGTCCTGCTTAGGGGCCAAATAAGTCAAGCGTGCCGAATATAAGAAGATAATTAAGATCAGATTCTGGCTACTGTCACCTTTGAAATGACAGACGAACAGGCGCCAAGTTGTGACAGGGTCTTTTTTACGTTTAGTGCGACAGATCAAAAGATCTTTCCAGGAAAAGAGGCTGTTGCGAAGCCCTCCCGGAGATCATGGATTTGAGCGTGAAAGTTTCCATTCGTCCTTTCAGTACACCACCGAGCTGAGATCGCAAAATGATTCCGGGTGGAGAGAGGCCGGAGAGGTGTCAGTCTCCCCAGGCGAGACTGCCTTACTTTCAGCTGAAGAGCATGATCAGGCAGAAGACGACGGAACAATTTTGGTAACACTTCTACCTACTGCTGAGCGACTGACAAATCCTAAGTACCGACTGGTGTGCGCAAAACGATCTTAGTTAAAATGTAGACCAGACTGAGAGCCACTGTGTTGAAACTCCCTCCTAATGAGTACTCTGGTGTATTTCTATGAGAGGCGAACGAAAATGGCAGCATTACCTTAGACTCTTCGAGCGTTGTCTGAAAGTAGTCAGGTTCGGAGTGGTCGGACCGAAGGCCGGTGAGGTGGGTGCTACGCGTTCTCCACTTTGGAAGAGGGGTTCTGAGACTTTGGTTGGAGTCATAGGACCCGCACTTAGGGTCCGCCCGGGGGTAAGCATCATAACCAGCGGTTGCTGGAAGGAGCTTGGAACGGATGTCGCCGTCCCCGACGACACCGCAGTCAATGCTCGAGGCGACGCCAGCGATTTGCTTGCACACTTTGCGCACAGCAGGGGCGACGTTGAGGAGGCAGGTGGCGTTGGTTGTGGACGACGTATCGGAGTGCCCGGAGCAGCGCTCATTAGGGCGGCTGTCCGACCGACAGGAGAGGCGGTACGTCCAGCAAAGTCCAGACGACTGCCGATGGGCGTTGACCTGGACGGTGGAGGTACCTCATTCGGCGTGGACAAAACTACTGAGCTGGAAGCCGCCTCCTCGGTGGCCGTGTTGTCAGCATTGTACTCAGAACCGACAGCCTGTGAAAAGAAGGCACCAGGCGTGGCTTTACCAACAGCCAGACGAGCCGGTGAGCCACCAGTTGTGCCCACAGGTGAGGCATTGCAGATGGAAAGAGGCGGTTTGGATAGGGTGTTGGGTGTGCTCTGAGCAGACGGCGCGGCTGCACTGGGCTGCTGCTGCTTTGGAGTGGGGGACTCGCAGGAGTCGGAGAAATGCACAGGACTGTAGCAGTAAAAGGGCAACATGGAGGCCTGGTGAAGCAGGTTAGGGTGACGGTGAGGTGCAGCGGCGGCGGCGGCGGTGGCGGCTGTTGGCTGCTGGCCCTGGATGTTCTCCTTTGACGAATAATGACTCTGCGAGGAAGTGGTTAGAAGGAGAAGTCAGCGGTAGCGACGGCTGTAGCAGCACGTTAATTCAGAGACAAGACAAAGGCAATGCGGGTTAAAGCGGAGTAGGCACATATAGATGGTTACCGAAACATTACTGCTGCCGGGGGTGTTCGTGCCATAACCAGAAGATGGCAAAGAAGCCACAGACCAGCGACGGTTCTCCGATAACCTAAACGAAACAAAGGAATACCCATTGGAGCGAAAAGTTGGAGTACTGTCCCTAACTGGGGTCTCTAAGAGTCGCAGACATTCAGAAAAAAGTTGGAATTCAAATCTGCGGGCCCATTAGTGGATTTCTAAGGGGAAAGCTTGGGCCAAAAGTGGAAAACTTCAAAAATCAGCAGACATCCGCTGATGATAAGCAGCAAACTCAAGTGCCCAGGTGCATCAACTGTTTGCCCAAGCGGCGTAAGAAGCGCCCACGGGGCTCCGTAAGGGCTGTGCACGTCTAATACAACAGTTCCCGCAAAAACAACAACTCGTGCGCGCGGTCTTTGAGATTAGTGTGCTCTTTGCCTTGGGTGTGACCGTTACCATCCGAAGTATTGACTACTGTGCACGCGAGTAGTGATGAAGCAAACCGAGCAGTTAGTGCAGGAACAGGTACACACATGTGAGCTGCCGGATTGGCTGAATGTGGGGAAATGGTTCATTCACTAAACTACACAACACAACCATACATACAGGTCCAGAGGAACTGTGTGTGTACTGACCGAATATTTGCTGCATGATTAAACAAATTCTTCCATGGCTGCGTTTCGCTGCTAAATTTGACTCCATTCATCATGCCCCCCTTCTTGATAGATAAATAAAGCCATACGATGTGTGGGGTAATAAATATCGCTGTGAAATGGCCATTATTAGCCCTTGCCAGCCAGCCATACTCAACCCCGAAGTGTGGAACACCTGGGGCTCGATCCCGCGACCTGTTAGTTAGAAGTCCAACGCTCCTAACCACTGAGACACGGGCTCGCTGTCCTGTCAGTTGCGATCGGGAATATACAATGGTGAGTGAGTTCCGTAAAAACGATCGGTGAGCGCCCCTCCACCATTGTATATTCCCGATTGCAACCGACAGGACAAGAAGCCCGTGGCTCAGTGGTTGGAGGCGTTGGACTTCAAACTAAAAGGTCGCGGGATAGGGCGCCAAGTGCTCCACACCTCGGGGTTGGGTATGGCTGGCTGATGACGGCTAATAAGCCAGAAATGACCATTTCAGTCTCCCTTCTTTTTGTCGATAATAACATTCTGCCTATAGCATATTCCGCTATGCGACTGCCGGTCGGGCTCGACAGAAAGCCCGTAAGGCACAACGGAACGAGTGAGTCCCGTAAGAACGATCGGTGAGCGCCCCTCTACCTTCGT